AAGAGAGCCCTTGTCACTGGGATGCTCCCATGCCATGGGGGGGGGGGCGGGGCGGAAGAAAGAGCAGACTCTGGAGCAGGGACTGTGTGGTAGGACAAGGGGAAATGGTTTCGGACTTAGAAAGGAGAGATTTAGATTAGATATAAGGAAAACACCCTTAGTGTTCACACTATGGGCAGTGAGGCAATGGCACAGGTTGCCCAGAGAGGATGTGGTGCCTCAACCCTGCAGACAGCCAAGGTCAGGGGATGGGCTGTGAGCACTGATGGAGCTGTGGGTGTCTCTGCTCAGTGCAGGGGGTGGGACCAGGTGGCCTTTAGGGATCCCTTCCAACTCCAACCATTCTGTGATTCTATGGTGGATGGGGATGAGGCTGAATTCCCACAGTGCCCAACTGCAGAAGTGCTTCTGCTCTTTCATTGTGCCAAGCATTGCTTTTGGTCCTTTAGCTTCTGTATTTAATATGTGATTGTTTTTTTCCAATGAGAGAGGCTCTTCAGAGCTCACTCAGAGCAGACCCTCTCTGCTCTACCACGTCCCAGCTTCGCTCTCAGCATGCCTGCGGGGTATGGTTGCCCTATGGCTCTGACTGGCTGCCACTGATGCTCAGCCACATTTGATGCCTGCAGTACCCATCCCAAGGTTTCCCTGCTCCCATCCCTGGGTGCTCAGGCTGTTATGTTCATGTTCATGTCCCCACAGAGGTGGAGTCGGACATCCTGCGCCGTGTTCGCACGCTGCTGCGCGAGCTGGATGGCCACCACCCTGCCTGCCAGAGTGACCGAGGTGAGACCAGGGGCAGCCCCATCCACCTGGAATTTACCAACTGTTCCTGTGGGCCTGCTGCTTTGCCACACATTGCTCAGCTCTTTGCTGGGGAGTCAGCTGCAATCCCTCCATCGCTGTGGTGGGGAATAATGCTCAGCCTGAGTGTTGATTTTACTGTTATTTAGACCCAATTAGCATGCCCCATCCCTTGCTGAGGGTCACTGGGTGAAGCAGAGGGTGGAGAAGCAGCACTGAGCTGTAGGAGAGATCCTGTGGGTGGTGGTTGAAGCACCCAGATCTCCCCATCCATCAGTTCACTGCTCTGCAGAGCAGCCTCACCTCCCCCACTTCTCACCTCTCAGGGATGCTACGATGGACCCTGCACAAAAAAATTGACCAGAATCCCAGTAACAGCCCCATCCTGGTCCGGATCCTGGTGAAAGAGCTGGAGAGGGTGAGTGCCTCACAGTGCCCTGCAGGTGGGGGGGGTCTCATCTCCGTGGGGCTTCATCCATCCCAAGCAGGACATGTCCCAGTGAAGGAGACTGTATGAACTGGAGCCTCATAGCCAGGGGCAGATGATGTTTGCAGCCCACAGGCAGCAAAACAAAGAGGCTTTCCAACCGCCCCCACGCCGCCCTGTGGTTGCAGGTACTGGAGAAGTTTCTCTCCCTGCCACTCATTTCCTCCGCGTGGTGTCACACCTTGCCCTGTATCCTGACCTGGGCGCATTGTGCAGAAACCCACGGATGGATTTTGTGTTTCAGTGATGCATCTCCTCATTTTCTGAACTCGTGTGAACCTACAGCACCCTCAGCACCTGCAGCAGTGGTGATGTGGTTGGGCACAGTGTCACCTTTGTGAGCGTGCCTCATTTCATCCAGTGCCCTCATTTGCAGAGACCTCTCTGCTGTCACCTCCCCCTGTCCCCCTTTGGGGCTGCGGTCAGCCACCCCTTCGTTCCCCCCATTAGAGCTATTATTCCTCTGCTGCTCTTATTCTCAGAGGGCTGTCAGTCCTCCCGGTCTGTAATTCCCTTTGTCTCCCTGAATCTCTCCCTGGAAATCAGCATTATGCTCTTTCAGTCCCCTGACACTGCAGCAGCCCTGAGCACTCAGCACCAACCACCGATAATAACTCAGCAATTTCATGCTTGAGTTTCTCCATGGCTCTGCCCAGGGATTAGCTGGCTTCAGCAATTCAGCCTTGCTCATTTTATCGATCATCTCTAAAGCTTTGCTGCCATCGGTTCCATTTAGCTGGGATCCAGCAGCAGCACATCATCTCTGAAAAGAGGTGCTGGGGGGAGACCCTGAGCATCATCACCACCACGGCAAGGCTCTGCCAGCCCTGCTATGTATTCTTATCTGCTCTGCTGAGCTACACGAGAGTGGGGGAGCATCAGCAGCATGCAGCACCTTCACACTGCAGCAGCCCCATTTCCGTTTGAGTAAACACCTGTATAACACGTTGCCCCTTCCCTCTGGCAGTGAGGATCCATGAGGTTTTGGGGTGGAAATCAGGTGTATCTGGGGCTGTTCCTGTTGCTGGAGATGTGTGGGAGCTCCCAGCTGCCTTCCCACAGCCTGGAACAGGGGAGCATCCCACCTCCCTCACCACTCTGCTCCCACACCCACCAAACACAACATGGGCCCTTCCCAGAGGGTTCCTAGAGGTTTTGTGTTTCTATTTGAGTTTTTGGTTGTTTTTTTTTTTGGGAGGGGGGGAGGGGGTAGAGGGCAATAAAAAAGCACTCCCCAGTGAGCTCAGATAGAAACTTTTTGCCATCTCCCTCTGCAGATACTGTGCCCTTAGTGGTTCACCACTCACCCCTCATGATCTGTAGCCAACAAGGGCAGCCCACCAGGCAGGACCTGTCCTCATCCCCAGGGACACCCTGCCCACTCCAGTGGCCAACAGAGCCCATGAGCATCACCCTGCACCCATGCAGGTCTGTGGCGGGTGCCTCAGCGCTGACTGCATCTTTTGGTCCCGCAGGCAGAGCGAGGTGACTACAGGCATTACATCATCCCCCTGCTGCACACGCTGATGTACGCCTTGATCAAGGTAACCTCACTGGGGCAAGATCCTGGGAAATCAGAAGGCAGGGGAGGGACCACCTATTCCTGTACTGAAATAGCCCAGCCAAGCCCTGCCCTGCCACAGATGGACACACATTTCCCAGTGTGATGTCTGAAATAATGACACGTTTGGGAGGGAAGGTCATCCCACTTGGGTCCTTGCCCCTTTTCTTGGTGCTGATGGTGCAGGAAGTCACACTGCTAATGAAGTCCATTTGTCCAAGCACCTTTCCAAAGCTGGTCAAAATGCATCCCGCAGCCTTTGGTGGGTACTGATGGAGGCACCATCACCATCCTGGTGCCTGATCCTGCCCTCCCTCCCAGGGTCTGTCATGGAGAGAGTCCATGTGGGATCACTGCCTGCAGCATCTCATTAGCTGCCCTGCTCTCACCCCAGGCTCCCTGCATCTCCGACGAGCTCTGCAGCAGAGTGTATGATTTCTGCACGAAGCTGCTCACCCTGCCCAGGCCTTTCTGCACCATTGGTTTGGACTATGCTGCCAGGCTGAAGATGGAAAGGATGGCACCAGGTACGATGCTCCCTTGCTCTGCCCCTGAGTTTGGGGGGTTTGCATACGGAGCTGGCCTTTGCCTAAAGCTATGCCTGGGGTTGCTGCGTGAGGCTGGCCCAGCCTTAGGTCTTCAGGATATGTTTGGATGGAAGAGTTCCCCTTTCCTGGTTTTTTTATTAGCAGCTGGATGGGACACTTATGTCTTTCCTACCCCAGGGCCAGGTGGGGTGAAGCACATCCCTCCACACTTGGGATGGTGCTCTTCACACCCCACACTCAGTGCCATCCCTGACGTGGCCCCATGGCCGTGGCCAGCAGTCAGCCTTTCCTCCAGCGCCAAGCTCTCCTCTGAGCTCATAATCTTCTAAACAAAGGAAGGGAAATACAGGAAATTATACATGAATAGAAGGAGTTTTCTTCTTCTGTAGCATGGCCTATCTTTGTCTGTGGTTATATTTAACCCAGGGCCAACTCCTGGCCCTTACCTCCCCTCTCCCATCAGTGCTGACCCACTTGGAGCCCTTCCCACGAGCCAGGCCAGGTTGTTTTGCCTCATGCTCCAGCCCTTATGCACTGATTTTCTCACTTTTGTTAGGGATGCTCTACCAAAGGATGGTGATTTCCGAACAAAGTCTTAAAAGCGACCCCTACCCCTACCAGGAAAAGTGAGTAGTACCTCTTCAAATGTATCATCACTCTTATTTCTTCCACACCCTTTGAATTTTCTAGTGAAGCTGTCCCTTTCCTGCACCCTGAATTGATGTTGGGTGCACAGACAACTTGGAGGCAAACTCCACGGCAGGGTGTGGGCTGGGGGGATGCAATTTGTTGATTACATGTTGATGTCCCCAACTACTACACCTACGCAGGATTTTCATCTTCGCCGACCCAGAGCTGCTCTCTGAAGCCATCTGCAAGGCTCTGCTCAGCGACACGGAGGCAGCTTGTGTCTCCCAGAGCCCACAGGCGTGTATGTGCTGTGTGATTACCCACGCTATGCAGGCAGCCCTGGGCGAGGGCTGTGACCTCAGTGCCTTGAGGATGCGGCTCCAGGTAACCAGCAGCACTCATATGGCCCCAATATGGTTTCCTAATAGTCCCACTGGGCAGTGGGACTGCAATACAGGCTCATCCATGAGCCCATTTGCACAGGGCCCATTTGCCGTCATATAACGCTCTGCCCATGGAGCATCTGCTCTTACACCTGGGGGCACTGACAGCACCTCTGTGGCAGGGCATGGCCAGCAGCGAGGTTGAGCACTGGTTCCAGGAGGTGGTGATGGCCGTCGAGTGCACAGGGAGCAAAGTGGCTGCAGACCGTGGGCAGCACATGGAGAGGCTGCAGAGCATCTACAGTGCCATCCTCAGTTCCTCACCACCAGGTGAGCCCCCGCCGTGCTGCCCATCCTCACCATTACCCTCCCGCAGCCCATCCATGAATGTTATTTGTTCTGCAAGCTCTCTGCTGTCTGCAGCTAAGCAAGGTCCTTCACTTGCCTGCGCCTCAGTTGCCTCATGTCACCTCTCCCTTTCCCAGGTCGTGTACAGACCTTCATTTGTGCAGTTTGTGAGGGCAGGGGACTGTGATTACAGCCTTGGAATTGGTCAGAAGTGATGGGGTGGGAGAACCCCCAGGGCTCAGGACTATTCTAACTGCTGAAGTAGGGCACCAGTGGGTTTTGTGCACTGCCTGCTCCACGTGCTATGTGCACCCTTGTTCCCGCAGGTGATGCTCCCCTGGAAGGGCTGCAGGGCACCCCACTGCCCAACCCTAACATCAGCTTCCACCTCTGGACAGAAGATGATCAGCTCTGTGAGTGAGGCACCAGGGATGGATGGGGAGGGAAAGACAAGCAGGGCACACCTGTGAGGTGCACACGAAGCACCCGATGAGAGCGGTGCTGAGCTGGGAAATGGGGCTGGAAGGGCAATCTGGAGCTGTTGGTGGGGCAGGACGAAAGCTCGGCCTGAGTCTGGCTGCATCTCCCTCCCTGAGCTCCTCCTGCCTGCAGGGAAGGAGCTGGTGCTGTTCATCCGCCCGCTGTCACAGAGCTGCGAGCCCGATCACCTGAGCCAGGACCTGGACAACTTTGAGATCCAGGACATCATTTCAGACTGCGAGTGCTGTGAGCAGACCCGCTTCTCCGTGCTCTCCACCGACAGCGGCATCGAGAGAGATCTGCCACCGACTTCCGAGGAGCCCTTAGCCCCGTGCAGTGCTGACACAGAGCAATCCCGGCTCCATAGGAAAGGTGGCATTAAAAAAAAGCCCTCGCCGCTGGAGAGCGTGGCCTTCCTGCAGACTGGCTGCAACGGCCCCGGGGTGAAACCTGCAGCCAAAGTGCAGAGGAGAGTGGGGATCCCCACTGAGCCCGTGGCCCCCTTGTTGAGGCTGCACACTGCCCGCATTGTGCTGCTGGGGGACGACCGCATCCTGGGGCGCCTGGCCCAAGCCTACCACTCCCTGCGGTGAGCAGCTGCCAGGGGGAGGGGGGTGGAGTGGGGGCTTTTCTTGGTCGCAGCAGCCGTTGTGGTTGGGGATGGGTTGGGATCCAAGGTTACCTGGGACAGGATTGGAGCTGGATGTTCTGCACCTGAATCTTGGAATGAATGCTGGAATGGTTTGGGTTGGAAGGGACCCTCAAACACCATCCAGTCTCACCCTCGTGCTGTAGGCAAAGAAATCTTTCACTAGACCACATTGCCAAAAACCCCATCCAACTCACTGTTGAACACCTCGAGGGACATCCACATCTTCTCTGGACAATCTGTGTCAGTGCTTCACCACGTTTATGTTGAACAACTGCCATCTTCCCCAGCTGCGAGGCCCAAATGGTGCACATGTGGAATTTTTCCATTCTGTGCATAAGACAGATTCAAAAAAATAACAATCAAACCAGGCAAGAATTTTTCCAGTGCACAGGGGAAGGAACCTAGTGAGCCCACCTATGGGACATCCCATCGATTTTGGGAATCTGGATTTGGGAATCTAGGGGCATTGCTTTGCTTCTGTGTTGCATTGGGTACAGGAGGCGAGCGGGGAGGGTGTTTGCTTCTGTTGCAGAGCCGCTGTCATCTCCTGGCACTGTTTTCCTGCCTCTTCACCTTTCAGGCATGGCTATATTTATTTTCTTCCCTTTCAAGGAAGCGAGAAACACGCCGTGTCTTCCTGACCCCAAGGCTAAACCTGCAGTTCTACTACGTGCCCGTGACCGGGCAGCCAGGCACGCTGGCAGCTGCGGTGAGTCTGGTCACTGCTGGAGGAGGAGGGACAGGGGGATCCCAGGGACTGACCCCCATGAGTGCCTCCCTCTGCCTCCTATGAGGTGTGAGCCGTGGCCGTGCCCTGAGCTGTGTTTCTCCACCAGAACCCCTCTGCCACCAGCCCTGAGGAGCTCTGCGAGGTGGCCGCCTACCTGGGCAGAGCCGATCCCTGGTATGAGAGCAACATCAACACGCTGTGCCACGTGATCCCCAAGCTGGCCACCATGGTACGAGGAACCATCCCCACCCCCAGCACTGATCCCTCGTCCAAAAACCCGCAGGGGTGAGCTCGTGCCTGCAAAGCCCTTCTGTGCCCCAGACGGCAGCTCACACCCTACAGGCAGCCAGGGTTGGTGTTGAGCCCACGAGACCCATTTTCTACGATGGTGGTTTGGTTTTTTTTTGGCCAAGGGACAGGAAATGGCACATTTCAAGAACACAAATGTAAACGAGGCATTTGCTGTAATACCCCAGCTCTCATTTCCTGGCAGTTTGAGCCAGCACTGACAGCCTGCAAGAAATGTGGGGAGGTGGGGGCAAACCTGCACCTCTCCCATTGGCTTCAGCTGGTCATGGCAGAGCAGCCGAGCTCCCTGTAGGAAGGCAGTGACCGAGGCTGATCCTCGTTGTGATTTTCTCCTCAGCCTTCCTCTCCAAGCAAGCATCTGGTGACCGATCTCTTCATCACTGATGTGATTGCCTACTATGTCCGTATGGGCGCCCAGCCCGTCTGCTTCCAGGTGTACGCAGTGAAGGTGGGTTCTGTGGATGCTGTGCTGCCCCGTGGCACTGCCAGTGCTTGCTCCCTGTTGCTGGCAGTGCTCTGCAAAGCCCCTGGGGTCAGCTGGATTTGGGCAGCTCTGAGCTGGTTCCTGTCCACCAGCCCTCCCCCTCCTCACCAGACTCCCAGATCAGCGGTTAGGGGTAGGGGTAAGGTTCTGGGTACAGATAGGTCAGTGATCCTGGGAAGGCTATTTGGGCATCTTGAAAGTCAGCAAAGCACATGCAGACATTACCCCTTCCTCCCTGCTCTGCTGGGCACAGGTTTGCTCAGCAGCTCTGGCACCTCCTGCTGCTTTAGGCCACCTCTTCAAGGAGGGGTTCACTGAGTGGCTTCAACAAAACCTTGCAGAGGATTTGCAGGGTTTCCTGAAATGCTAATTTTTTTGTTTCCTGCCAGCTTTTCTCTGAAATGGTAGCAGGGTGAGACCTGGTATTTGATTCTGCCACTTCTGTATTTGGTCCTGAAGTATCAGCCCTCCATCTGCTCCTCTGGCAGTTTCCCCCTTCAAAACTCAAGGTGGTATCAGTGCACATATCTCCCTTGAAGCTGCCCGCAGCCAACGTGGTGATCTATTGCAGCAGAGGAGCAGCCACTGCATGAGCAAACAGGCACATGGCTTGCAAAGAGATGGAAGAGCTTTGTTAATTATTGGTGGAGCATCACCAAGACTTGAATTAATAACTTGTAGCTTGCAAGCACCTGATCTGCAATGTGAGTTGCTGAGGATTTTGTTTTCCCTCTGAATTTTTCTTGGACTCGTTCCTCCTCCAAGACAGAAGTTAGGAGCGAGTGAAAGAGTGGTGACTCAAAAGGGGGAAGAGGAACTACCTCCAGATGTGGTTTTCATATAGAAGCACTCGGACTGCCCTGCTGTCATACAGAGCACGATGTGGAAGCACAGAGCCTGCTTTGCTGTTTTGGTTAAGATCGCACTGTTCCTCTTTGGCTGCAGAGTGCTTTCTTAGAAATGAGGACTGAGCCCCACAAGAGCTGGGTGGAGGGCAAGCTCTCCAGGAGCTTGTCTTCATATTTTGCTCAGAGCACTGCATAGATATGATGTGAGCGGCTGATTCAGGTGTATCAGGGAGAAATGACCAGCCTTGAGTAAAGGCAGCTGGAAGCTGCTCCCCCAGCACTGGGCATCTGCAGGGAGCAGCCGTCTGTGAGCACGCAGTGACACCCAGTGGCGAGGGCCCATGGCTGTGCACTGCGAGGCGTGCCGTGCTCCTGTGCTTCGCAAAGCAAAATCAGCTCTCCCCATCCCATCTGTCCCCCACAGTGAGGTGACAGATTTCCTTTGACGATGTCCCACTGGGGCGCTCAGAGAACCTTTTGCTGCCGCAGTCCCTCTGTGATGGTACAGACGACTGTTCTCAAAGTTTTCCCTCTCTTTCAGGTTTTCTTCAGCAGCTCAGCTCAGGAGCCAGCTGAGGACGTGTTCCTCACGGAGCTGTGTGCCCAGCTGCAGGACAGCATCCCCCCCAGAGGTGCGTTTGCTCCCCGTGAAACCCCACAGCTGGGGCTACATCAGCCACAGCCCTGCAATGAGCACAGCCCTCACACCCAGGACTGGGAGCCGCCCTGAATTCCTCTGTCTCCCTCCTTGGCATGTGATGATAGGCAAGAGGGTGTCGCTGGGTCCTGGTCTCAGACAGGTGATGCCCGAGGGCTGATCTGTAGCCAGTGCCTGATCCAGTGGATGCTTGCCATTGGGGCTGAGCACAGACCCTACGGCGAGTCCGTCTCACCAAACCTTTTTTTGGTGGCACAGAGCCTCCAGTGTGCCTAGAGTGGCTTGTCCCTTGACTGCTGTCCTCTGCCCTGAGGTGGGTGGGATGAGTGACACCTCCATCCTTCTTGGTCCTCCCCTTGCAGAGGTAAACCCAACCAAGAAGAAGACGACCCTGGATGGCCCTGGCATAGATCTGACTGTAACATACAGGAAGGTGAGTGGGGCTCTGGGCACCCAACGTGCCCATGTCCGCAGGCATAGCGTGGACCTTCCAAAAGCAGTGATCTGGCTCTGCTTCTTTCCCTGGAGTTACACTCCATGAGAGGACAGAGAGGTTCTGATAGACTGCCAGCTATCCCTGTACTTGTGAAGAACTGCCCCAAAGCTCCCCAGAGCCACCCCATGGCTTGGCTGAATGAACAGAGCCTTCCTTCCCTACAGGTCGTGGTGAGTGACCGGGCAAAGGAGGTGTCACTGTCCCTGCGCTCCACAGGTCTCTCCATGAAGGCCATCCCTGCCAATGCGGCTGAAGGTAGGTTTCTCTGCTTGGGAGCAAGCTTTGCTGAGATTCCTGGTGCTCCATAGGGTGAATCTGACCATAGTACTCAGTGCCGTTTGTGCCTGGGCTGCCCGAGTCTAACATACTGCTTCCGTTGCAGATCTGGCGTGTCTAAATGTGGACATCACTGAAGTCGTTAGGATCAACAACTTGTCAGGACGATCCTTCTCAGTACGTGGCTGTGGGTGATCCTGACCCAGGGAGGGTTGGACAGTGAATGGAAAGCCCTTACAACCACAGTGAAGGGGAACTCTCCATGGAAAGGGAAGGCTCTGGGAGTTTCTGTGGCTGGGTGTTCCCTGGAAAAGTCTATTTTCTCAAGTCCAACCCCAAATGCTGTCCCTGCTGCTCAACACTGCATCACACACAGTCTCAGGACACTCTGAAGTACTGGTGATTGTGTGATTCAAGGGGCAGAGTGAATAAGGCTTAAGAGAAATACAGCTTAGTCCTTTAGTCACCAGGGCTCTGCTTGGGTGTGTGTGGAAGAGGATTTGTAGGTTTGGGATCGACCCCATTAGCTCCACACCTCCAGCTGCAGTTCTCTCCAGACCACTTGTGTCAATCCATGTATGGCCCACCAGAGTAGGGGCTGTTATAGCAATGCTTTAAAAAGCATAAACAGGAAACAGGAACTTCAGTGAATCTGATCAGCACCTCAGAGAGATGGATTTTCTCTAGGGCTCCTTTGGTTTCGCATGAGAGGCCAGGCAGGGGATGTTCTGACCTGCAGGGATATATCTCCACAGTTTGGGTGTCCATAAGCATTATCGTGTCTTGGTCATTTTGTGTTGCCATGGAGCCTTCAGTCTCTCTGCTGGTGTTTTCAGATAGCCAGTACTCTTTTGGTTATTCTGGCTTTGTAAACACCAAGGTACTGCAGCCCATGCTGCCCACCAAAGTCCACCAGGAGAGAAGGCCATGCCCCGCATCAGACGTCCCAAACCTTCCAGCCTGTGCAAACTTGGCCAATTGACAAAGTCTGCCCTTGCAACCTTAGAAAGATGGAAAGAGAGACCCTTCCATCTTTAGAGCAGCCACCTTGCATCACTTCTGAAGTTTAAACTGAGTGAGAATGTTGTCATTTTTTCTCCCAACCCAGACTGTGGCAAACAAGCTGAAGACGTGCAACATCAAAATCGGGAGCACGGAGCAGAGGCCCTTCACACTGTGTCTGGACAAGGACAGCAGAAGGACCTACAGGAGTGTGATCAGGTGAGGGTGCTTTCCTGGGAAAGCAGGGCAGAGTCAAAGAACTGTGGAATCAGAGAAGTGTCTGAGTCAGAAGGGACCCTGAAAGGCCATCTGGTCCAACTTCCCTCAAGTCAATCAGGTGCTCAGAGTCCCATGCAGCCTGACCTTGGGTGTCTGCAGGGACAGGAGGTGGGTTGTGCTCTCCTAGATTTGCATCTTGGGGTGATGGTGTGAAAAAAATGGGTTCTTCTGTTTTAAGTAAGGTGCTGTCATTAGGCAGAAGGAGGACAAGTACGTCCAAAATCTTAGGTCTAAATATTCCTGGGGTATCTCAAGCACATGAAGGTCAGGCAGAGGAATCAGCCCTGTGAAAAGTCAGGGATTAATGTGGCTGCAGTGGTGATAGTGACATATGAAGTGCTGGAAGGGAACAGACAGAGTTTGAGGTTCATGTGGAGCACAGGTAAAGTGGGAGTTTCTGAGAACTGAAGCAAGCAAGGCTGACGCCACTGCTTTAGTGTTTAAATGCTGGTACACATCAGCTCCCAGCCAAATCCACTCTGAAAGCATAAAAGCAATTGCACGGCTCTGTGTGGCAGCCCCTGCTCTGCAGTCAGAGCAAAGAGTTGGGATTTAGTCTGAGATCAGACTCTGGCCCTCAAGGGCAGCTTTGCACGAGTAGTAATCACGTTCTTGTTCCTCCTGCAGCCTGGAAGTGTCTCCTTGCCTAGAGCCCAGCTACTGCCTGCAAAAGTCAAGGACAATGAAATTCAGTCCGCACGAAGCAGAGGATGTGGGACTTGTGAAATACATGCCCAAGTCTCTGCTGCTGCCCATCAACACATTTGCAGGTGTCATCCAATGAAGAAAAGGAGAAAAAGCCAATGTGCAAGATGCAGCACCTGGGTCGTGATAGAAGACGTGGAAAAAAGAAAGCACACTAAGAAGCTGCCAACAGTGGATTTGCAACCAGGTGTTTCTAAAGCCTTCTAAAGCTGCAAAGGCAGAGGTGGGCAGGGCTTGGGAAGGACAGCTGTGTGCCAAGCTGTGGTGGCCACAGCCTGTGCTCCCTGGCAGGGCAGAGCTTTCCTGAATGACTGAGAGATTTGACCTTTTGCACAAGTGGTGAAAAACCTCCAAGCTTTTCATTTCAGGGAAAGGACTGGAGAAAATAGAGCCGAGGTGATGGTGCTTGCTGTGCTTGTGGATCAGAGAGCAGTTGCTAGCACTAGTATTTATTGGGTTGGCATCTCCTGGCCTGATGTGCCTGTGTGTCCAATGCGTGCAGTCAGTGGGACAGCCACTGTTGTTGCAGAGGGACTATGCAAGAACGATGGGTGGTGTGAAGCAGAGACACGAGAAATCCAGTGCAATATTTGGCAGTGATGTACTCAGGTTGCCCAGGCAGCACAGCCTGGCTTTGTTTTGAGAAGCCTGCAGAACCCCTGGGAGACTCCTCTGTTCCTTCCCCCTGCTGCTGTCAGGGTGTGGGAGCCCTCCCCTGGTTTGCAGGTGGGCTCAAACCCATTCAGCTCTATGGAGCAGTGTGTCCAAGGCCCATCTTTGCTGAAGTAATGGAAGAAACACGGTGTGCAACATTGGTTGGCTCTCTGAATACGGTCTGTGATGTCTGGGTTGTCTCCAGGGAGTCTTCTGTAAATCACATTGGAGGGGATGTGGGACCCTTGGCACCCTCCTATGACACTATCAGCTTTGATTCTCTCAGCTCTCAGCAGCTCAGGGGTGCTGGCTTGTATCCCCTGCCCCAAGGAGGAATCCTCCAGCCTTGTCAGTGCACACAGCAGCTCTTCCAGTGTCACCACAGGGCATCCCTGGAGCACAGATACCCAAGTCTGGAGATGCTTCCCTCCAACCCTGCAGCTTTGGTTCCTGTTCCAAATTCAGGGTTTATGCACTCTCACTTTGAATGCACCACACAGCTCCAAACTAGCACTGGAATACATTACAGGGGGCAAAGCAACTCTGGAGCTGTTGGTGTGTGATGGGTTATTTAGCAGCATAAAGAGCCTCCAGGTCCCAAAAAGCTTTTAACCCCAAACCAGCACCTATAGCTGATGGGCAACAGCATCACAGCACCTCAACGGCCTGGAAGGTCTCAGCAACCATCTTCAATTCTTCAGTGCAGTTTTTCATCTCTCCTCAAAAACGACGACCAATGCCAGGACAGCACTGAGCACTTTGACCTTGGAAGGAGCTGAATTTGGAAAGGAGGCTCAGAAATAAGCAACCTGCTTGTCCCAACATCCTTCCTTTCTGAACTGCTGCATACAGTAACAACCTCTGCCTCGCTGGGCTCTTTGCTGGGGCACGTGGCCCTTGGCACACCAGCCAGCAGCTCACAGCAGCTCACAGAGTGGTCTGTGGTGTCCAGGGCTGAATTTGTACAGCTGTAAATGGTGTAGATGGGTTATAAGTTATTTGTACAGGTGACATAGAGGATTCATATCAGAAGGTGCGACTCTTTTAATGCCTATATATATATATATATATATATATAAATATATATATATATATATAAATGTAAAGAGGGAAAAAAAAGCAGCAGAAATGGATCTTTTTATAAATTTACTTGCTTGTGGCTGGTGTGAGTGGGGTATGAATTGTGGGAACAGAAGGACATGCGGCCCCATAAGTGAAAAACAATTCATGAACTTGTGTCAATGACTAAGCTCTGCTTTGAAAAGCTTTCAGCTCTCATCAGAAGCTGCTGTCACTTGACCAGGTACATAGGAAGATCTCATTCCTTTGCAGAAGAATTAACTTTAATAGCGTCTCCCTGAAGTTTTACAAGCCAGCTGCAAAACCCAGAGTATTTCTCTAAATGCATGTTTATTATGTAGCATACGAGTGCCATGGTGATCTCCTGCCCTGCTCCCCACTGTGCTCATAGCAGAGACAAGGAAAAGTGATGCTATTGCAGATGATCTCTGTGTGTATTGATTACAGTTTATCTGCATGTCAGATGCTTTCAGCATAATTAGCTCCCCATTTTCTGGCACAAACCCACTATGCCATGCCACAGCCTGCTGCAAGAACTGTAGATAGGCTTGTCCTCGAGCCAAGAATAACTGGGACTTTGTACTGAGAACTGCCTTCTCCCTGGAACTCAAACTCAAGTAGAGAGCAGTTTTAGTGTCAAGAATCTATTCCAGCTTTGTCATACCTCAGGAACTCTAATTGCTCGTTAATGGGGTGTATGACAGCAGTCCTGTGCAAGCAGCACACCTGAGAGCCACGCGAATCCTTGTTGGTTTAACTGGTGGTGCTGAGGATGTCTTCTGTGGCTGGTGCTGTTTGGGTGTCACATGGATTGATGTACATGTGCTCTGTGACATGGTTCAGTGGTTCCCACTGAATCAGTTCCAGCAGATGAGGCAGCATTCACCATCAAATGCTGAATGTCTCTTTGCTTTTAGTGAAACAGTGCCCAGACCCTGCATGTAAGTCATTGTATGGCCAATGGAACTGGGCTGGAATCCACACAGCTCATTGAACCCAATACTTTATCTCACCTTTTATTTTCATTCCTACACTGCAAGGAAACAGCTAAAACAGCTGGTCCCTTCCCTTCCCTTCCCTTCCCTTCCCTTCCCTTCCCTTCCCTTCCCTTCCCTTCCTTCCCTTCTCTCCTTCCTCTTCTATCTGCTGACTTCAGTTGTACATTTCTCTGGGCACAGATACATTTCTTTGTGCATCACTTCTCCACTGCTTTTGCTGTGATAGGAATTACTTTTTTGGCCAAAGGCAATTTTTTTTCCCTTGAAATCAGATGTGTTGACACCATAACACTGTGCACGCAGACACAGAGCTGAGTAGGAGCTAACTGCAAAATTAAGCTCTGTTTCACCTTTCGTATTAAGAAACCCTGCTTGGAGAAATTGAGCAACAGAAGAAGTGATCTCATGCCAACCTTATCAGAGCAGAGAAGGACGTTGTTGGCAGTAGGGCTGTGGTTTTGGACCTTTGAAAGCATTTCCAGCTGTAATCAGGTTGGGATTGCAGAGGGGATGATAGCAGTGAGAACAGCAGGCCTGTGCTGATGGGAAAAGGAATTCTGAGCCAGGAAACACAATCACACGCTGGAGTCGTGTTAATAGTGGATTGAGAGATGTGAGGTTGAATTTTTGACAAATCCCAAGGAAAAGAAGCTCATGGAATTATTTAATAACTCCCATCTTGTTATTCTGGCCAGACATACATGCCTTTCTGCAGGAATAGGCAGTTCAGTGCTCTTTGTGCTTCCCAGTACCTTTCCAGTGTCTGAGTGGATCCATTACAACTTATTTACAGTGGATTCGAGGATGTAGAGCATCTTCTGCAAGAGAGGTTTGTACACAACGATAGCATTGGGCAGAGCAGAGCAAGCAGTGTGTGCAATGGGTGTGCAAACAGTTCTGAGTGTGATTCTGTGCTGCTAAAGGTGATCCCGTGTTTTTAGGGAGAGCAAAGCAAACTTCTGGAGTGCTTTAAATGCCAGTTGCAGAGCACAGCTGATCCAGGCACTCATTCCTTGTGGCCACGGTGAACAAGCATTGGGGTGGTGAAATCATCCCTGGAGGTTTTCAGGGAAAAGGCAGATGTGGCACGTAGGGATACGGCTTAGTGAGCATGGTGGTTGTGTGTTGGTGGGTGGAATAGATGATCTTAGTGGTCTTTTCCAATCTTAATGATTCACAGAATCACAGAATGGCCAGGGTTGGAAGGGACCTCAAGGATCATGAATCTCCAACCCCTGCCACACGCAGGGCCACCAACCTCCACATTTGATACCAGACCAGGCTGCCCAGGGCCCCATCCAGCGTGGCCTTGGACACCTCCAGGGCTGCCCTGGGCTACAGCAGAGTCCCCATCCCTGGAGGTGTTCCAGAGGTGGCACTGATGGATGTGGCCTTGGGTGGCAGATCAGGCTGATGTTTGGACTCAATGATTTTTTCCAACTGAGATGATGCTGTGATTCTATGATCACTAAGATCCCTGCAAGGTTTTAGACCCATGCCCAGCCCCTGTGATCCCAAAGTGCTGCCAAACATCTTTTCTTTGTCCCGCTTTTGTCGCACGGTTTATTTGTCTGCAGCAAGCCGTGCCCCGCTGAGAGACACAAAGGATGCATAGGGCTGAACGGGACCGTGTTCGTGCTGAAGCTGCTCAAGTCTGTGGCACGGAACTGGAGAGGCAGGGGCTGTGGCTTGGCTGGCGGTGCGCGGCGGCAGAGGACACCCAGCCGAGCTCCGAACCGCCCCGAGAGAGAAAGACAGAAAGCGGCCGCGGTGCGGGCGAAGGGCGGGGAGCGGAGCGGGGCGGCGGAGAACGGCAGAGGGCGCGGCGGGAGCGGAGCGGGGGGAGCCGGGCGGAGGGGCGGGGAGCCTCGGGAGCCCCGAGCCGCTCCGCTCCGAGTGGTGCGGACGGGGGAGAAGCGAGGCGGCCGCAGCGCTCTGCAGGATGGAGGGGAAGCGGACCCCCCCCCGGTACGGCTCGCTGGAATCCACCCGGTGGCCGCCCGCCAGCACGGCGCCAGGTGAGCTCCAAACTTTCCCCCGGGTGGCTCCGGTGTTGCCCCCTTCCCAAAGCCCCCAACCTACGTCGGGTCGCGGAGCTTCGCGGTGCGTCTCGGAAGCGAGGGCAGAGAGGATGGGGGAGCCGCTGAGCCCCCCGCTGGGTGGGAGGGCTGGATGGGGGGAGAGAAAAGACGGAAAGAAGCGGAAGGAGGGATGGCTGGGGGAAATGAAGTGGTGGAGGGGAGATGGAGCCCTCCGCACGGCTGGTGCAGCCCGGAGAGATGTGGAGGCACCGTGCTGTGGGCATGGCTGTGATGGGCAGCCTAGGGTGCCCGCACGGCCCTTTGCTGCCTTTCCCCACTCTGAGCAGTTCCTCCTGTAGGAAACGGGGTCTGAGCCGGGTGTCATCCGCAGTCGAGCCCCAGGGGTGGGAGGCAGCATCGCAGCCTGGGGGGACCTCCTGCCAGGACATCACTCCGACATCTCCCCCATCCCCTTCTGCTCCCATCTCGTTCTGCTCCCCACCAGACCTCTGCATGCAGCAGGACAGCGGCGAGCAGCCAGAAAGGCAAAAAGGGGAGGCACAGAGCAAACTTCAGCATCCAGCTGGATGCGAGTGTGCGGGTGCTGCTCGGCTCCATGGGGAGCATCCTGAAGTTTTTATCTTCCTCTGTATCTCTGTATCTTCCAGCACAGCAGCACTTATCCCTCCATCCTGCCCCTGCATGGCAGGTATCTGGGTTGGGGGCCTGCAGGGATCTGACCTTGTCCTCCAGATCTGGAGTGCCTGGCTGTGTGCTGAAGATGCTGCAGGCACCAGGGGTGTGAGCACCATATCACCTCTGCAAACACTGCCCAGAGCTGGGCAGCGAGCTGCGATTGCTCTCATTATCACATATGCACTAATCAACAAGGGTTGGTTTTGATGAGCTGGATGCCCCCTGCTCACACTGCTTTTCCTGGCAGAGAAAACCCGCAGCTGAATTAAAAGCCTCTTGGGACGGAGCCCAGGTGAAGACCTCTGCCCTCCCTCCCCAGAGCACTGCCAATCTATTGCGCATCTTTAATCATGAAAGAAATCACTTGCAACTCAACCCTGCACTGGCTGCTGCTGTGACTCATCCTGGGCTTGTTGCTGGCTGTCTAAATGTTTGCATCAAAGCCATATGGAGTGAGAGTCTCCAGCTATTATACTCCTCATTAACGATACTCTCTTCCCCTGGGCTGTGTGTGACGATCAGAACAGTCCCAAGTTGAAATCAAAGCCTTCTCCTGTTCTTCAGTTTGCCAGGTTGAAGCAGTGGCTGTTGGAGAGCTCTGTGGGCAGTGTGGGGCTGATGCCTGTGCCTGGTTCCATTGGCGTGTGCATCTGTGGGAGCTGCACACACGTGGGTCATCCTGCATCCCTGAATGGATGCTCAGCACCACAAGCATGGGCCCAGATGTAAGGAGGCACTGAGAGTTGGGTGTTACAGACCCGTTCAGTAAAACCACCTCCAGGGAAGTCTTTGCCCAGCTGCCTGCTGTACCATGTGCCCAGGTTTAGTCCCTCCTGAGCTCTGAGTGTTCCCACTTCCCACACCTGCAGTGGATGCACGGAGCCCTGGGGACCCCAAGCTGCAAAGGGAAGCTGTGCTTTAGCCCATGTCTGTAGCTGGGGCTTCAGGAACTTGATATCACCCCACATCTGTCTGGAGGAGGCATCTCCTGGTCTAGTAGGGAAGAGCCATGCAAAACTCAGTTGGTTTTTGCAGAGTAACTTGGATCAGGAGGGAGCTCTGCAGATCTCGAGTCCAACTCCCTGCTGAAAGCAGGCTTAGTAGGTAGATGGAGTTGCTCACAGCCTTGTCCAGAAGGTGTCTTGGATCAACGATGCAGATCCCTGGACTTCTCTGGTAGCCGTTCCAGTTTCCTGAAGGGTTCCTGCCTTTTGGTCTCTTGCACAGATTCACTGGTTTCTCATGAGGTTTGGTGGATGGGTTTCATGCAGAAGTGTAGCAGTTTGTCCCTTTCCCTGGGTGTTCACACAGCCTCTGGTGCCTCTGGCCCCGCTTCCAGAGCCCTTGGGCAATCTTGGTGTCAAATACAGCATGAAGGATTGGCTGATGCTGGCCTCACCCTTACCCAAAAGCACAGCAGCAGCTTGGCATTTATGATCCCGAGGATTTTTCCCATTCCTCATTGAATTTAGAAGGTGAGAAGGTGCTTGGGGCAAATTTTAAGGAATCAGTGGGAAGAGTGCACTCCCCCAGAGGTCCACAGGCTTCCTTTTGCAGGAGCTCTCACTTGGAGCTGCCCCTTCTCCTGTTTTAAGCAGCTCTTTGATTAGAGCTCTGTTGACACCTTCCCTGGTGTGTCTGAGGATAAGTCTCACCTTTGGGACACAGAGTGCCACCCCATCACCAATGGGAGCCTCCAGCTCAGCTCCCGCAGCCATGGCTGTGCTGTGTGATGTCCACCTGCCCTTGGTTCACAGTATACTCCTAACCTGCAGCCTCTGCTGCTGGAAGTGACCGTGGGCAGAAATCATCCAGCCTCCTCCTCCCTTTGGTACACAGGTGAGGATTTGCCTCTCCCAGACGGGCTGGCTGCTGCTAATGAGGTTCTGGGATGAAAAGGGAGAAGGAGTGATGCTGACACCTGTTCCAAGGCATTGTGCTCACCCACTGGGAAGCAGCTGTCTGATGACCTGAGCCAAGTACTTCTGCCACCGATGATCAAAGATGTTCTGGGCTATTCCCTCACCCACCCAGACCAGCAGTGACAGCCTCCCTCCCCCAGACCCACCCCTGTGCTCCAAGATTTGTTCCTGGCTAATGAGAGCTGCAGTGAGCTCGTTTCTTTGTTTACTGGAGAATGTATAAAATAATCAGCCTTGTCATTTCAGCCTGGTTGCAGAAGTGACGCTGAGCAATGCAGATCTACAGCCACACTGAACTACAGCCGAGCCCCAGGGAGCCTACAGGCACACGGCGGCTGTTCCATCTGCAACCTCGCGTGCGTTGTTACCTGCTTGTCCCCGTCAGCTGCAGGGAGATGTGACCAGGGCCACCTGCCTGTCTTCAGGTGCACGAAATCCCCTGGGCCACGGGCATCCTGGAGTGGCTGAGCAGGTGGATGCTTGGGACAAGGGAGCTCAGCATCCCTCTCCCCTAGCAACCATTGTCCGGTCCCTTAGCAACAGCAGTCCGGTCCTGCAGAAACTGCATCCTTGGTCCCATAGCAACCACAGTCCAGTCCCCTAGCAACCCCATTCAGGCCAGTAGAAAGCAGGCTAAGGGCAGGGTTTCCAGCACCCGTTTGCAGCAGGGACAAGAGCTGCCAGAAGGCAGCCCATCCCACCCCACTCTGTGCTCAGCTCACATATCCAGTGGTCCATCAGGGTGGGGCTCCTGAGAGCATCCCAACAGCTTAGGGTAGGGAGTGTTTAAGGATTCCATGTAAAGGTGTTGGTAGAAAGTACCTGCATGGCTGGAGGAGAGGGAGATGTGCTACAATTAATCCTCATGAGTTTCTAAGCCAGAAAGAGTGGAAAGCTATTCCCCAAACCAGTCACACCAACCTAAACTACATATATTTCTGCTATTCAACTTTCTCCACCAGCAGCTTCAGAAACATGCCTCGCTAGGGACAGTTTCTCCAGCAGCTCTATGCGATGGGTAGAGAACCACTGTGTGGGGCGTTCTGCCTTGTGCCTTCATAGCAACCCCTCCCTGCTCTACAGGGCTGCAGAAACTCTCCGAGCAGAGATGTGCCTTGTGGGGATCCAAAGGAAGCTCAGTTTCCCCTGATATATGTGATTGTTAGTGTTTCTCATAGCCTGGCTTTGCTGTAGCTGCTGAGCCCCCCACCCCCCACCCTGTGCTGCCTGTACATCACGGGAGAGCTGGATTAGCCACTGTGTGATGAATGCACTGCTGCACATCAGTGATAACAAGCTGGGTGATGTGATGCTGGGAGCTGGGCTGGCAGGAAGGTGGCAGCTGGCCTGGGAGCAGAACCTCAGCTGTCATCCCATAGAGCAGGCTGGGAGCTGTGGGACATCAGACTTTGGCAGAGACAAAGCTGGTGGTGAGAGCAGAGCTCTGCTTCTGGGCTCTCATCCTGCCTATCCCTGAACTTGCCACTAAAAAACAACAGCCTCTTTTTCCTGTGGTTTGCTGGGATGGTTTTGCCTCTGGTCTGGAGCAAATGGCATCCCTTTTTCCTGACTCAGTTTCCCCAGGTGGGTTGCAGAGATGATGCTCAGCACTTCAGGAGATAAGGAAGCTGAACTGCCCTGCCAGGTACCTTGGAGGGATTCACCCACCCTGCAATGGAACGGGAGTTTCAGTGGGACCTTCACCTCCATGACTCCTTGGGGGTTTTGTGTTATATGGGCCCAGGTTTGTCCCTGGCATGTCCTGGAGGAGGAGGCAGACACAGGCTTGTGTCTCTGAGGTTGCTCAGCCAAGGGGTCTGATGCAACTGCAGCAGTGAGCAGAGCTGCTCTGGTGCTCAGCTTTGTGTGGAGCACAAATAAAGGCAAAACACATCTGCCAGTAGCTCAGTGCCCCTGTATCTGGTGGTGGCTTTCCATGTCGGGCTGTCTCCTCTTGCAGCACCTGGTGGGTAGCCTGGAAAAGAAGTTGAAGCTGCATGTGTAGCCTGGTGATGCTGCGTGGTGTCTGCTGTACAGCCCTGTTGTCCTCAGCACCTGGTTAACATCTGCTGCTGGCTGACGGGGCTCCTGCTTCCTTTGCAGAGGATGAGATCATTTCCATGGCTGACTCCTCCACCACTATTGATGACATCGAAGGGGAGCTCTTCAAAATCGAGAGGATCAGGGAGATCCTGGTGAGGAGGGAGTCAGAGCTGCGATACATGTGAGTGCTGGGAGCCAACCTGTGCGGATTGGGGGCATGTGTTTGACCGAGCTAAAACGTGCCCATGGTCCTCTCTGAGCACTATGTCTTCTCTGCAGGTTGATGCTCTTGGGCTGGGCATGGGAAGGTACTCGAGGTTTGGGAGCTCACTGCTGCTCCCTGACATGGGCAGCCACAGAACCTGAGTGTATCATCGAATTGTATCACATCATGGGTGGGTTGGAGGAGACCTTATGGCCTCCCAGCCCCTCCTCCCCTTTTGGAGCATCAGCATGGAGGATTTGTGTCCACAGAGTGCCGGAATCAATGTGGCCCTGCCAAAGAGGCAGAAATAAAGCCACTGTAACACAGAGGGATGGTGACAAGAGAAAAGCCAATGTGACAGAGCTGCACGGCTCCTTTGGAGCCAGTTGGTGCACACAGTCCTAACACTGGCTTAGCAGACAGGGAGGGAGCTGAGAAAAAGCAAAGGAGAAAGCAAGGCTCATTTGCAGCATGGGATAAACAATACTCTCAGCACTGGGTTCTGAGCCAGAACCATGGAGACGGGGCTGCCAGCACTGCCCTGGGCTGACCCCAGAAGTGCTGGGCTGGCACAGGGAGCGCACACCACACACCTGGAGCTGAGGTGTTGTTGTTGGGATTGCAGAGGATTTCTGGGAGTCACAAAAGCTGAATTGCTTGAATGTTTTCCATGGCAACTGGCACCTAAATCTCACAGGTGCTGTCAAAACTCACAGCTCGTGGTTCTTCTTACCTCATTGTTTGTTTTCTTCCTTGGCTTGCACTTGGGAATCACCTACAGAAAACACATCCTGGGGTGGGTACAGCTGCAGCATTCATTGCTTGGGTGTTTTGGGGAACAGCAGGGCTGCACATCAGAGCTTGAGCATCAGACCTGTGGTGTGAAACTATGGGAGCATCAGCTTTGCTGGGCAGGAGGAGCTGGGCTGCCCTGCTGGGGGCACAGGAACCTTCCGCACACCAGGGCTACAAGGGATAGGGCTTGGGGGTTGGAGTGGGGCTTTTGACACAGTGGGGGAAATAAAAGTCATATTTAGGGTCAGGTGGACTGTAGGACTCAGGGAGACGTACACCTCCGTCGTGTGCCACCATACAGTGATGTGAGTCGCCTTGTCAGTCGATAGCAATCAGTGTTTTCTTGTTGAAAATGTCAAACCAACACATTCCAACGTTGCTGAGATGTCCGTGCTTGGAAGATAATGAAACCTGCTGCAACGAGATGTCTCAGGTGGCAGAGACAACCCCAGCTCCAGCAGCAACGACCCGGCTGCTTGCCTTTGCTATCTCCCAGATTGTACTGAAATGACAACTTTTATTATTGCCAATTCATTACTTCTGCCAAGAGGAAAGGCTTCCTCCACTTGGGATGTTCTCCTCCTACAGCAGTATCACACAGGGTTCCTCTTTGTCGCTCTGTTGGTTTCCCTCTCTCTAATTAATATTTCTGGTGCCCCCAGCTCCAGTGTGACTCATCCTGACTCAGCGAAGGGCTGCGGGATTACTGGAGAAGCAGACAGGGCTCTTAGCAATGCACACCGCACAGGGAGCCAGGGGCACATCTGTGGCAGCAGCTCGTGGATCCAATCGTGTGTTATCTGCAGACACGGAGCGTGAATTAGGGCTTTTGCACTGCTCACAGACGTGGAGCTTGTGAGAAATCTCAACTGTGTGGTGCCAGGTTGGCTGCTCTGCCATGTGCCTGCAGTGTCGGTGCATTGCTGCACTGGAGGCCTTGGGAAGGTCATGCTTCATGTTGGGTTCTTGGTAGAGCTTGGGAGGACCAATGAAGTCTGTCGGGATGAAGAACAGATCACAGTTCCTTGATTTCAACGATCCAGCAGCCCATACCCCATTTCCATGCTATCCATGCTATCACCTGGCGCGCGTGCCAGGTTTTACTGAGGTGTTGTTGTCATTGATGAGATTTCTGCTTGCTAACCGCCCTGATTCCATTTGTGTCTCTGCAGGATGGATGACATTCAGCTCTGCAAAGAAATCAGCCGGCTGAAAAAGGAGCTTCAAAAGCTCCTTGCCCTTCCTGGTAAGGCTCTGTAGAGCTGCACCCTGCCATGCGCTCAGCAGAAAGATCTCCATGAAGCCCAGGAAGCTCTTGGCCAGCTCCCACACTGGGATGCTCCCGGAGATGCTGCTGCTGAAGGCAGCAATGAGAAGCTTGAGCTTAAAGTGCCTTTAGTAGTTCAAAGGGGTGGTCCTGATGGACTGTGACATCAGCAATTTGGAAAAAAGCAGTGTTTGTATGGAGGGTATGTTAACTCTGATGTGCTCTAACCCAGGAGTGCAGACCATTAACTATCCCCATGTAGCTGGTATGTTTGTGCCCAACCTGATGTTTCTGGTGGCATCAGAGTGAAGTGTCCTATTTGCACCAAAATATCACAGCAAATTATTTTCTGGGGATCTTTCCGACAACACAAAGGTTATGAGAAGTTCCTTCTACCCAGACCCCTGCAGCAGCACCTCCCATCAATACAAAGCAGACTTGAAGCTGCAGATCAATACACAGCTTAGGGAGCTGCTGAGACCCTGCCTGCAGGCTGGCTCCATGCTGTGAATTCTGCTGCATTTTTATTTAGCTGAAGGAAGACAGGAGATTGATCCATCCTGAGCTGGATTGATTTTGGAGCTGGCTGCTGAATTCAGAAATTGTTATTAAATAGTGCTACACAGGCATTTACCATTTCCACCCAAGCTAGCTGTCCATATTTAACACTCCCCAGTGCTAGCTCTGTCATCATATAGAATTACAGAGTGCTTTGAGCAAGAGAGAACCTATGAAGATCCTCTAGTCCAATCCCCAAGGATTTTTATGCATTCTGCTTGCTGCTATATACCAGTTTGTATAGAACATGAGTTTGCATGATGTGAGAGTTTCCCAGGGCTTCACTAACTCTCTGCACAGGGAGGTGGTGGTGCCCCATCCCTGCAGACACCCAGGGTCAGGGGACGGGGCTCTGAGCACTGATGGAGCTGTGGGTGTCCCTGTTCAGTGCAGGGGAGTAGGACCAGATGGGCTTTGAAGGTTCCTATATGTGTGACACAAATGGGTCCCATGGTGCTCAGAGGCAGCCAGGTGGGGTTTCTGGGGCTCTCCATGGATCAGCACCATGCTGGCACTGCGGCTGGGTGTGCTGGTGTGGGAAATGTGGGTTCAGCGCATCTTGGCAGGAGGATGACACCTGAATCTGACTTTTCTGAGCACCTGGGGGTCAGGTGCCCAGTGCAGGGTGGAGACCCCTAGGGAAGCAGAGGAGGGATCTCTAAGCAAGGTAGCCTCACTGGTGGGATCTCACCTTGCTTAGGGACCCCTCTGCCTTGTGAAACTCACAGTTACATCTCACAGTGCTCATCCCCATGGAAATTTCAGGGGCAAAACTCAAAAATCTGAGTTTGATGACACCAGACCTGGGTGGGTTGAGGTGAGATTTTTGCTTATTTAGCAGCCTGTATCTGGATCCTGGAGCCTACTTTGGGTTGGCTTTTACCCCCATTCTCATAGCCACTCCCAGGTGGAGCAGAGCACAGCAAGCTTGGCTTGGCTCAACTTTGCATGGGAGGGATGCAGAGGAGCTAAATACACTTCTTGTGCTGCAGAGACTGAGAAGTCCAATGAGGAGAAGCAGAAGGAGGAGGAACTGGTGCAGCAGATCCACAAGCTGGTGGAAACACGGGATTTCCTGGTGGACGATGTGGAGTTTGAGAGGCTCAGGTAGCTGGGAACAAGTTATTCCTTGCAGTGAGGACAGTGCAAGCTTTCCTCAGATCTGTATTACGCTTTGACAGATGTTTCTGGATGCCTCGTTGCTCCTTTTCCATGTGCTAAACAATCTCTTTGTTGCAGGGAGAGAGAGGAAGACAAAGAAATGGCAGAATTCCTGCAAAGTAAGCTCTCCAAAAGCTACCTCCAGAAAGCAAGTAGGTGGTCAATGAGTTATATTTCTTGCACTGAACCTCCCTGGCAGTTTCTTCCCTTCCCTAAGCAGTCTGGTGCCAAGATTTCATCCCTCTGTGTAGAACTAGCTCAGTGTGGGGAGGTGCTGGTGCTGGAAACATCACCAGTCAGTAGAGATGCAATGCTTCCATACGTTTCTCAGCCAGCATGTCCTAGGAGATCTGGGATGAGCAGGTGTCACCTTGTGGTTCATGTACTTCATCAGGCCCTTCCTAGACAGCTCCTTCCATTTCGTCATGCACTGACTAAAGCGACAAGTCGTGCCATCCACTCAGCCTTCCTCTGGGGCAGCAGTGCTGTGCTGAGAGGACCTTTCAGAAGAAGCAGCAGGCTTATGTCCTTGTCTCCAAGAACACACCTGAAGCTTACAGTGCCTCTTTCTGTAGCTCCTGTCAGAGAGAAGAAAATGACTTCCAGGGGGCAGCAAACCTCCGCACCGTACATGACCAAAACGGGCCTCACCCTGCTCAAGGAGTGCTGTGGCTTCACCTGCTCCATCATGTAGCCAGCTCCCAGCTCCTCTGCATGGGACGTGACCACGGTAGTGTGCTGGGCTTTGTGACAAGGACTTCTGGGGGTGCTGAAGCTGCCAAGTGCGGGGAGGGATGGTTGGCACTGGTATGTGGGACACACAAAAGAAGCAGGGTGTGATGGACCACCAGGCTGCAGCCCTGCTCTGTGGGTTGGTCACTGAAGAAAAGTGTCAGAGCCCCACTGAGTCCTGAGAGAGGGTTTGGAAGGGGAGCAGTGGTCATTGCTGGGAGGATGCTGAGGACATGGAAGGAAGCACCAAGGGGATCACACACTTGCGACCCATGGTCTCCTGTTTCTTTCCTTTCCTGCCCAGGTCTCCAGCCAGAGTCCACAACCTGCTCTCCTCTGAGAGTTCCAACCTCCCGTCATTATTCACGCTTCCCACTGCAGCACTGCTACCGACGAGACTTTCCATGCAGGCTGGTGCAAGCTTGAATGATGGCATGTTTCCTTGGTGCCACATCAATGGCCAAACCTCCATGACATCAACAAACACTGAATTCCACCTTAGCTCAGCTTGGAAGAGATGTGTGCAGCAAACAAGAATATCCAGAGATATTCTTCACCTGGACAGGGCAACTAAACAAGCATTGGAGCTGATATTTGGGGAGCATCCACCATCCCTGGACATGTCGTCATTGCAGATCTCATCCTTGGCCTCGTACCACCTTGTGAGTCTCTGTGGGCTGATTCCAAAGGATTCTTTGTGGGGAATGTCTCTGGTCAGGGTTTTGTTGTGCTTGCATTGGTTTTATGGCTCTGGGTAGGGCTGTGAGGAGGGAAGGGCCATCCCTAAAGGCAACTGAATGAAGGGCTGATTTTTGTGAAGTTGTCACCTGAGCACAGATGTAGTGTGTTGAATTACAGGCAGATGAGCTGCCCTTCCCAGCTCACTGTTACTGGGTTCAGTTTCAGCTCCAAAGGAAAAGGAAACCAGAGCAAAACTGGAAAGGAGAAAAAAATCAGAAGATCAGGGGAAAATGCAATGGGAAATGGAAACCAAACGGGAGATGAGAAACATGGCAGGGATGGTTGGAGAGAGCAGGTGAGGGACACCTGCACTGCCAGGAGGGCATTCAGCCCTGACCACCAGTGCCCACCAGTGCCTCCAGGCTTGGCACCATGACCAGCACGTAATCCCTGTGTGAAAGATCACAGCACCACGAGGTCTCCCAGTGCCTCAGATGCTGGTGTCCCCTCTGAGCATGTCAACATTTTGATCCATGTTTAGATGGTACAACTGGAGCTGCTAATGGCTGTCATGACAGCACAAGGGTTCTTTATAGGATGTGAAGAGCTCTCACATCTCCAAAACCTGCCTGCCCTGTAGGATGGGATGGCTCCACTAGGTGGTATGTGGGGGCCATTTGGTGGCTGCCCAAGAGCTCTGGTTGCCCTGTAGCCAAGCTGCTGAGGCCTTCAGCTCAGTGCTGCTGCTGTTTGCTGCAGTTTTGAGATGGTGTTCCTGCCTGGGTCACTGTTCTGCATGCCCAGGTCAGTGAGATCACAACCATCAGTCTCTTTTCCTTGCACCTAATGGTACATTCATCCCGATAATACTCAGTGCAGGTGGGACCCTGCTTTTGGTATCTTCTGAGGTCTCAGTGTGAAGCCTCCTTATGTGTTGTGCTGTTGTTGGTGACCTCCTGCATCCCACAGTACCTGCCTGCTGTTCCCTGTACCCTTTGCTTTGGGGATGTGGAACCCTGGAGGAAGCACTGCAGGTCAGAGTGCTTCCCTCTGCTCTGCCAGCCCTGTGGAGCAGCACGAGGTGCCTCCACACTGCAATAAGGTGCTGTGCCTGTTGCTCAAGAAGACGGACCATCTTCAATAGCATCCAGCCTGGAGCTGGTGGAGCAGATGAGGCTTCTCTTACTCCTTGCTCTTTCATTCCCCGCCCTGTGGTTGGTTGGCTTCATCACTCTGCAGCCACACACATGGTGCAATGTGGGCATTGACTGTGGACAACAGACCTGAAGAACTAGAAAGGCCCTCCCTGTGCTGGCCTTCCCCAGGCCTTCTTTGGAAGGGGGAATAGCAGAGCCACATTGCTTGCTTGGGCTGACAGGGAGCCAAAGGCAAGGAAGAGCTCTTGATTCAGTTTGACCCCCAAATTAATCCCTGCTTCCACCCTATGAGGCCCCAGGACCCAGTGCTGGTAGGGCAGGGAGGATGGCCAGGAAGGAGGTGGGGAGGATCCTGACTCACTTTGCTCTATTGATGGCTGTGTTTGTAAGGCTGGTCATGGAGAAAGGCTGCAGTCCTGGCCGTATGATCCCAGTTGGCCTGTACTGAACTGATGGCAAAGGTGTGCAGCACACGGGAGCGACACTCCTTCACGTGCATTGATTTCAACCCAAACTAATAAATGTCTGTTGGAAGCTTCGTTTGTAAATGTCTTTTCCTGCTTGGAACCTTTGCAGAGGTGTATCAGGTGGTGTCACAGCAGGGCGGTTGGAGCAGAACGTGAACCAAGTCCCCTAAAGCCAGGCTGCATTTGGGATCCCCTAGTGTTGCAGGAGTAGAAACAAAAGGGTTGAGAAGCCTGACCCTTCTCTTTCTGGCTGGTGACCTAACATTTCATTTCTGGATCAGGCTGAAAAATCTTTGGGAAGGCAGGAGACTCCCTTTCTGGTTCATAAACACCTCATGGTGGCCATAACGAGGAGGGGAGAGAGGCAGTTTGGGGGCAGAGAAGCAGGACAGGCTTTGTGCAGATGTGTAGGACCAAGGAGCTCACAGTCACTCACAGACACAATGTGTTTTTACTCCAGTGACTGCTGAGGGGGGACCAGGCAGCTCTGGCACCCACATTCTCTCTTGAATAGAAACTACATATGCAGAAACAATGCTCTAATTTGGGTCTAATGACTCTCATGTCCGCCATCTGGCATCTGGTGATGCTTGGCATGCCAAGTCCTGGGTAAGTGCTAATTATGGGGTTAACAAGCCAGCAATGTTTTCTGAAGTCACTATGGAGGACAGCAGTTGGTGCTAGCATGGGTTGTCCTAGGTCCTCACAGAGCACCTAAGATGGGAGAAGCATGTCTCCAGGTGACAGCATCATGGGGTGACCCTCTGTGTCAGAGCCTGTCCCATCACTTGAGTGTGCAATGGCACCAGGCACACCTGGCTTCTCTGGACAGTGGAAATGCCACTGTCACTGGTGGGGTCAGAGCAGGGGGACCTGCATTTCCAGCTCCTCCCACACTGATGGAACAGCAGGCTGCTCCAGAGGAAATGTTAACAGAGTCCAGATTAAACCAGTGACAACATTTCAGTGTGACGGGGATTTTCTGTCAACAGTCTGTGGATTTAGCCAATGCTTAAGTCATTTCTGTGCCAAGAGAAAGAAATCTTACAAAAAGAAAACCAAAAAAACAACACAAGACAAAACAAAAAAACAAACACCCCGACACTCAAAATCAAGCAACACAATGCAAACAAACCAAAACCCTGCAATTCTGCAAGGAAAAGACAGGCTATTAACAGACACACACACACAAACAGTTGGCTATATGCAGCATCACTGAGCTTAAACCCTGACATCTAATCAGGTAATTTTAGTTTTTGCTTCCATTTCCCACAGCAGTGTGAGTCACATTGCTTTTGCTTCACCCACCACCACAAGGCAGACGGGGTCGGTAGGCAGCACTGCAGTCATTGTGATGCTCAGGGAAACACTTTGCTCTCACACTTTCCCACCTGGACGCTTCCTTTGTCACCCCCCTGTCCTTACAGTTTGGTTGGCATTAGGCTCAGCTCCGTCCCCACACCCTGCTCATGCCAAAGCCATCCGGCAGGGCTCTGGGAATAACTCTTTTCCCTTCTGGAGATGCACAGCTGCTGGTTTCTCCCTCCAGTAGCCTGTTTGCAGTGGACAGCCTGACCCTGAGACTCTCCAAGGTCTTTCCATAATTACCCCATGCAGCCCCCATTTCCCTGGGCACAACCACCCCATTCCCATCAGCCACCAGCAGCTGCCACTGATGTTGAAGATGGTGAGGGGGTGGCCATGGGTGGAAGAAGAGAGGACAGCTGAGTCACCTCTCAGGGTGGGTATAAATGGTCCTTTTGGATGCATCTCTGCAGAGAGGAGACGCAAGGACACAAACACACAACCTCATCTCTGCTGGGATGAGTCATGAGATGACTTTTTCAGCAGCTTTTTCTATCGTCACCAGTGCCTCTACAAGACATTTACCAACCTCTGGTACCCCTGAAGACCTCACCAAGATGTGCTCTCTCCTGTAATTCTCTCTCCCTTCTGCTGCTGCTGTTTGGTCTCACTGGAAAGCAGAACCCAGGATGCAAGGCAGTGCAAGATAGGAAGATGCAATGGGGGAAGGGCTCTCAGATCCTGCACTGGCATGGAGAGCTGCTGCCCAAGGAGTTTCCAGCATGAGACTCAGCATGGGAGTTTTGGTCTTTGCCTTGCAGGAAAGCCAGTGCATGGCCTTATAACTGATTCTCATCTTGACCTGCCAGCTGGACTTTCTACCTTGATCTTGGAGCTGCACATAGCCTGGCCATCACTCCTGAACCTCAGCCATGAACCTCTCCTTGGTGGCATACCATGGGGCAGCCGCCTCAAGGAGCAGCCCACCCCTGCTCCTCCTTGACAGTCACAATCCCCATTCTACAGAAGGAACATAATGAAATCATTAAAGTGTGGGCACACGGTGGCTGCATAAAGTTGCAACATCTTTTACTTTTCCTTGCCAGCTGGAATGCGGAATGCCACTCACCTCCCACTGCTCTGGTGATCTATTCAGAAGAACACAGGGTCTGTCTTGGCCCACACAGCATTAACACGTCAAGGTTTCAGAAAGAAATGAGCTCTCTTTTCACACACAGTAGCTGAGGAGCAATTACTGCCCTTGCCTCTGCAATTGAGTTTTTCACTGTTGTGTTTCCTTCTGCGTTTGCATTGCACCAAGATGCTGAGCAGGGCGATGTTCTGCTGCTGAGACCTGAAATCCAGTGTGAAAGTAGTCCTCTGTTTCTGTATTCATCATGTTAGGACTCACAGTGAACAAGCAAATGCTTGCTGCGATTCATTCAGCTGGTTCATCCTTCACCTGTCAACACTTCTCCTAACAGCAGCAGAGGGATGGGTTTGGGTACACAGTGAGTGGCTGCGTAGGGAAATCCACATTCCCATAGGCACTGGGTGTGGTGATGCAGGAAAATCTCTGAAGCTCTCTGGAAGGACAGTCCTCCCTCCTTTGTGATGTTCCTGTTGAATACCTCAGCTTAAACTGAGTGGTACGTCCAGGTGTGGACGTGAACCCCTATCTGAGCCTATATCCTGGGATGCTGTACTCTGCAACCAGCATCCCATCTGCCAGAGAAGGCACTGCTTGGATGAAGCTGTGGGATGGAGCTGTTCCAATGGTTCCAACCACCTCAAGAAACGGATCCATCTTAAAACATATTGTTTTTAATAGTGTGAGAAGGTGCGAGTGACAGTGCAGGAGAGAAGGGCAAGAAAGGTACGAAACTTCACTGACGTAACCTATAGTAAAGTCTACAACATCTGTGGGGCTCTCAGTCCTTTTCTTACCCTTTTCACGCTGCTGGGCCTTTGCTGGCAGACCAGGTCAAGTTGGCATCTTCCTTGCAGCCCCATAGGCATAGCTGCATGCTAACGGCTCTGTATGCCCTTTCTTTTCACTTCCATTAAGATGTCCATGAGGTCTTGGATAAACTGTTGAATCTAGGGTAGGGAAGAGAGATGGTAGAGCTCAGAGTGCTGGGGAATGTGTCTCACAGTAGGGATGGGAGCAAGAGGCAGGGGGGAACTTATTGGCCCTTTAGGAAGACAAGGGGTAAAGGCCAGACCTTGGCCATGGGCTGACCCGCACATCCTGTCCTAACCTGCCAGTCTCCCACCCCTTGTCACCCTGCAGCAAGGACCCACACCCAGGTTTTCCTGATGTCTTCTGTCCAAGAGAGGACTCAGGTGAAAACGTTGGTATCTGCTGGGCATCTTGGTTTCCCTGGGCTTTCCCCTCCCTTTGGGCAGCTGAGGGTCATTACTGCTCCTCTTTCTGGGCAGGGAGAAGTGGTCTGGCTTGGCCCTACCACGCTCAGCTGTGTGTAGCTGTCATCCACTGGCACATTCAGGCTTCTTTTCATCTGCTTGCTCACGTGCTGGAAGAGGCCAAGGATGGCCATCTTGATGGTCCCCAGCTCCTGGCTTTTCTTGGCAGCTGTTTTCTGCACGTCAGCCCAGAGACACTCCTGAGAGGAAAGGAGACAGGCAGCATGTGGACATGACCCAGCAAAGATGCTGCCTTAGCACTAGAGACCCTGATTTGGAGAGATTAATTTCCACAGTCGACTGGTTTTCTGAGAAGATCACGTGCTTGCTGGTTGGTGTGTTTTAACCTTATCCAGACACCACCATAGTTGTTCCTTGCCCCAGGAGTTTCTCATCTCTCCACTGGCTCCTGCAGCCCTCGCTCTGGTGGGTTTCACCCCATTTGTGACCTCCGTGAACTGGGAATCCTGCTGCCACCCTCCCACTCTCCCGTTCTGCCTGATGGGACTCAACTCATTCCAGGCCTGGGAGGTCTTCCCCTGCCTGCCCCATCTTTCCTCACCCTGGTGAGAACATCCCTTTGAGCCTGATGAGAACGCAGTTGAAGCTGATCCAGGTCACTGTTGTACTGCAGGCTCTCATCTTCATCATGCTGGCTGAGTTCCTTGGCTTTCTGCTTTGCTTCCTTAAGCCCACGTTCTGCTTGCAGAAGGGCTTTGCGCATCCTCACTAACCTCTTGTAGTGCCAAATGATTGCCTGGATCTCCTCAAACTGCAGCACAGTGGGGTTAGTAATCCCAGCCCTCCATCATAATGGTAAGTCTTGCACTGTTCATGAGGTGCAGCACCTGCCCCAGTTGGAATGTCTTCCCTCTATTATGGACTGCCAGCCAAGTTGGGCTGTGAGCAGTGCCTCATCCCTGGTAACTTCTTGTTGTGCTCTTCCCAGAGCTGCCATAAGCAAGGTGAGGCATGGCGCCTCTTCTCCAAGGGGGCAGTGCTCCAATAAAAGCACAAATGCAACTGCCTGTGCTGATCTACCTGGACCTGGGAGGGGGCCACTGGCATCCCAGGAGGAGTGATGTATGGAATAATTCCCAGGCTTCCTTGAAAGGATACAGCCTGGGTTCCCATCTCCAGACAGCATTTTACTCCTCCCACACCATCAGTGTGATATGAAGCAGTGACTCAAAGTGTTCCCCATTCCACTCATCCCTGTGCCTTTTCCCTTTTTAAGTTTTCCTTTAGTTTTCCCAAGCCTTCCCCTCCTTTTCTGGTTCTCTTCCTTTAACTCTCATTCCCTTGGCTCACCCTGGTTACAGTGAACCTCTTCTCATCCCATCTGAGGCCTCTGGGCTTGACCAAATGCTATGATTTTCCTGGATGTACCTTATCTTCTCTAGGTTTAATGCCTTCCACACTCACCTGTGAGACCTTCACCACATCCTCCAGATAGGTTTCAAAGATAGAGTAGTTCTGCACTCTGTCACTGAGTTTCTGGTGCTTAATTTTCAGGGCTTCCAGTTCCTTCTTAGCTCTCAAGAGCTCACTCTCCTTTTGCATCTTCATCTTCCTTTCTTTGCCAGCTTTCTTTAGAGCTTGGATTCGCATCTTATCATTTTCCTGTCAGTGTTTCCCCATCAAAACACACACATATATATGCACACAGGGAAAGGAAAGCAAGAGAAGAAGGAACTGTGTCATGCAGAAGTGCTGTGAGAAGTCATCTTTCCCCTGGAACACATTTCCTTTCTGCTTAATCAGGCCATCTCATTAGCACCGGCACTTTGCTCTTGGAGACAAGCCTCTAGGATGGCACTTTGCTTTTCAATCAGTGGGGACAGTATGAGCCCCTCTGGGGGCTGCCTGGGGCCCTTGGGGGTCACAGTGGGGCAGGATGAGCTGGGTGCTGCACTGGCCCTCCCAGGGCCTTCTGTGTCTGGTACAAAGCTGCGAAGGCAGCTCAGGGCTTAAGGGAGATCCATGCAGAGAGGAGTTCGCTCTGCAGTCCTTCTTTCCAGGGGAGGGGAGGAGTTGGCCGTGCATCTCAGCGTTGTGTCAGATGGGCAGAGGAGGGGCAGCTGTACCTTTAGGGTCCTCTCAGATTTCTTCATGTGAGCCTTCAGCTCGGCCTCCTTGGCCCGGAGCTCCTTCCACCTGCAGGTGATGTCCTCCATCCTCACCCTGAAGGCCTGGAAGCACAGAGGGGACAAGGCTTGGCTGTCCATGCTCACTGCCACCCTCCAAAAAGCCGTGGGCCATCCCAGCCGTGACCAGAGCCCTTCCACCTTTCTCACCTCTTCCTTTTCCTCCAGAACCCTTTGCATCTCTTGGGCTTCTTTCTTCTTCTCCTGGAGGCGAATAAATGGAGACAGAGAGTCCTCCTCGGTCAGTTTGAGTTTCCTGCCACAGAAGCATTCAGTGCGGTGACTGGCTGGGCTCAGCACCTTGGCAGGATGCTGGCTTGCTCTGCCCCATCACCCCGCCCAGGACCTGTCTCAGAGCTGGTCCAACAGCACGAGTCTCCCAGGACCAGGGTGGAAAGCTCTACGGAGGGGATCCCATGGAGACATTGAGGAGGGGTTGCAGGGCTGGGGAAGGGAGGTGCAAGGAGAGGCTGAAGTGGTGGAGGTAAGGAGATGAATGAGGGAGATAAGGGATGGGAGCTTGCAGGGGTGGAGGAAACAAGAGGATGGAGGGAATGGAGGAGCTCCCTACTTGAGCAAGAGCAGCAGATTCTGCCTGTATTGCATGCTGAAATAGCCTGAGAGGTCCTCACTGTCCACAGTGGCCATTGCTTCAGCCATTGCGCGGCCCAGAGGGTACAGGTCTTCCTGGTGCAGCTGCTGCCCCGTCACCCCAGGAGCTGCCCTTCCAGCCCACGGCTCAGCAGTGCAGAGGAGAAATGCTCAGGAAGGGCTGTAGTCCTGGGAGCCTCCTGCTTCTACTTTCTTAGGGCATTCTATGCCCTGGTTGTGCCTACTGCTGCTGTTGGTGGTTGGTTGGCATGGAACAGGTTCCAAGGCGGTTAGAAGATGCTCAGGCAGTTATCTAGAGACCAAAGCGGTGTGATACCCCACGTCCTCATGGAAGGGACTGCAGAGTGCATGTGGGCCCTGCCCCTCTGCAGTCCGTGCTGTGCCCAGCTCCCTGCAGTGCTGGGCTGCCAGAAGGGCTCTGCTGCCCCATGGGCTTGGGACGGTGCCTTGTGATGACACACTGCTCCCAAAGGTCCCCACTCACAGATAGCACTGACCTCCATGTCTGCTCCTTCCACAAAACATTTCACCCTCTATGTTTGCCAAGGGCAACCTCTGCCTTCCTCAGCCCTAATGTGCAAGATCCATCTGCAGGCTACTGCATGTGAAATGCCCCTGCCCTGGTGGTCTCTCTGCAGGGAAAAGTCTTCATTTTGGTTACAAGCCTGACCTGTATCAGAGAAACTACTTTCAGGCAAACATCACCCTGTGCTCATTATGAACCAGCAAGCCGGGGAAAGGCTGCCAGCTCTGTCTGCTTTAAGCAGCAGGAAGATATATGGTGCAGGTGGGGACCATTAGTTATGCGAGAGATGCTTCATTTAGAAACAAATGACCAAGGCAAAGCCAGGGATGCATTTGGCTTTTATTATGAAGGTTAAAATCAGCCACAGGTGTCTTCCCTGTGGACAGCACTGAGCTATTCCCATATCAACGGGTCAGGCAGACTCCAGCTGGGCTTCTGGGGGAATGCAATCATTTTAGGGGAGAGCAGAGCAGCCTGAGGTGGCTGCTGGGCGCTGGGATCAGCAGCTCAGGCAGTTAAAGTTCTTTACCTCTATGAATAATTGGAGGCAGGCGTTTCCAAGGGGAAACACTGGCTGGCTTCCCAGTCTCGCTGAGAATTCCCCGTTACACGACACGGCCATACAAATGATAGGCAGGCTGCGGGGAGCAGGCGGTGCCATCAGCTGCCTTCCTGCTCCCAAGGCACGTCTGCTACCAGGGCTGCCCCTCTGCCTTGGCCTCTACAGTATTTCATTGCTCCCTTGGGGCTGCAATGCCCATCCATTGGGCAGTCCATGGGGTTTTTGCTCACCATGCACTGTTGTTTCAGAGGAAGCACGCAGATCCCATTCAGAAGATGCTGGTCCATGCCTGTGGTCCAAGAGCTGTGATGGCCAACGCCGTGCCCTGTCCTGGTAGGTCCTCTCAAACCTGGAACAGTATCACAGCTGTGGTGGAAGTGCCCTCAGATGGCTTTTTTTCTTTTTTAATGTCCCTAATCACTGTTTGCTGCTTTTATCCTCTCACCAAGGTTTTATCTTTGACAAATGCTTTCCTCCTCAATAGACTATGCATTAAAAGAGTTTCTTCCTATCATGCTCTCCATAGCAACTGCATCAGCCTGCCATGAATAAATTACCCATGACTTGACATCTCTTATTAGAATGTAGAAAATGCCATATCTGAGTCACAGCAGTCCAGCAGAAAGCTTTTCTGCTCATCCCTCAGGTTCATCCCCCACCTTTCCACTCTTTGAAGGAAGCTACTTCTTTTCCTTTTAAAGCCCCTGTACTCCCAAGGTCCCTGGAGCTGAAGGCGGACGGAACGCTGACGCAGCCTTTCCCTTCTGGCCTGCAGAATAACCAGGTATAAAACACTGCTGGTGAATCTCCTGTAGATCTGGGTTTGCCTGGAGCCCTGGGGAGGTCCCAGCGCTGCTCTGTAGGCTGCTCAGCCCGAAGTACCCCCGATTTGCCTAAAAAAACTGGATTTTCCCCGGGATGGTGTGGCCACAGCCCAGGAGAGGGAGCACTTAGGAAACAAGTCGCTGCGCAGCCCGTCCTGCCTTACCGTCGCCTTAGCAGAACTCCACGAAGCGTTCCTGTGCATGCAGCAGATGTGGGAGGAATCTGCTGATCCATGAGGGGAGGGGGTTGAGGGGACCCCAAGTCACCACTCCACACTGTGCTTCTCTGCTGCCTGCTCTGCATTGCCCAGCACTGCATTAACCCCAGGAGCTGAGGCTATAGGAGGTGCCCATCAGTGCCTCTTCCACTCTGCAGGGCAGTTCTCCATCTCCAAGGTTCCCCAGCACTGGTTTGTCCCAAGTCCTCTACTGCACCCCGACCTGGAGGTACCTGGGGGCTGCTGCAAGGAGCAGGCAGAGCTGAGAGGTGGTTCCCTGTCTCCCTGTTACCTCTCTGTGTGTTTCTATCTGTTGTTTCTCCCTGCTTTACCCACCTGTGTCCATCTGGGCTTTTGGCTTCCCTGCATGTCACACCCCTGAGCTGCCACGTTGGGTTTCTGCACACATCAGGCTATGGTGTCTTGCCCAGCCTCTCTCTTGCAGTGTTATCTCTATTCTCATTGAGTTGGCTTGCCAAAATTGCCCCGGAATGAAATTGCATCTGGGTGTGTAGGCTTCGCTGGAGGGGGCTGCCCCGCACCTCCCTGCCGCGCCTGCTGCCCCTGCTGCTCCTTCCCATCCTGCTGTTCAGCAGAAGGGTGTCTGCAAATGGCAGTGATGCCTGGAGATGGGGAGGATTTGCTGCCAAAGAGCAGCAGCCCAGGCGTTTGGGTGAAGAAGGCAAAAAGAGAATGCGCTTTCCTATTGCAGAAATCCAATTCAACACAGGTGTCTGGGGAGGCTTCCATTTTAAGACCTTGTCTGCTTTATAGCAGGCAAGGACAGTTTGCTCTTTTGTGCGCAGAGAGGTCCGTGAATCAAAAATACGAAGATGACTCGTCACAAGGAGCAAACCATGACTCAGTGCTTGGACATGCCTGCAGCACAGGCTGCACAGACCCTCGAGGTGTTCAGCACAGGGCCGCTGACACTGACCCGATCCCAAAGGTGGTCCTCCCACATTTAGCAGTTTTCCAGCATGTCAGGTTGTTTCAGGGATAACAAACTCCCCATTCCCTTGCATCAAAGCTGTCACTTCTGTCACAGCTGCCAGAAAGGTCTTCCTTTCCTTCCTTCCTTCCCTTCCTTCCTTTCCTTCCCTTCCTTCCTTTCGTTCCCCATCAAAGGTTTGATCATAGCTCCACAGGAGCTGAAACACACAGCAGAGTCACTGCAAAGCTGGAGCTTCTGGGGTTTCTTGGGCAGCTTGCAGCTTTCTGGTAACCAAGAGAAACCCAAAGCCCTTTCCCAAGAGCTCTGTGCTGGCTCAGTTCTTTCCATTGGTGTTGAAAGTCTATCTGGTGGCAAGCGGTTGATGTGTCACCGAGCTCATCAGAAAAGATCTGGGCAGAAATGGGGCTGTGGAGAGACCACTGAACACCTTCCAGAAGGCAGAGGAGGAGGATCCCAGTGCAGGCAGAGCCCAGGAACAGCCATGGAAGGATGCATGTATCTCTGCTGTGGTCATGAGCACTGCAGAGGAGCAGACCTGAGCTGTGTGACGTGCCCCTGGGGACACTCAGAGCAATGAGGTTGATGGGATGGGTGACATGCAGGGCTGCTGAATCACACCACCTAAACACGGATGTGTAGGGCAGGGTATTTCTGTGAACCACGAGCCTCCGTCGCTGCTCCCAGTGCTGAGGAGGGCACATTTTTGTGTGCTGCATTTTTCTGAGTGCTGACAAAGCAAGCAACACGATCAGTCAGCAAAGCCATTTCCGTCATGTTGCCTCACCCTTGGTTGTAGAGCAATGGTCTGATGCCATCCCAGCACACCAGACACAGACCCAGGGGATGCAAGGGTGATGTGGGAGCTCCTTGCAGCCTGGAATCCCGTCTGGGAAATGGATGCTGGGGGTCTGGTGCCCACCATCAGGCCGTGCAGGGCTGTGCAATTTTGCTGATCCCCAGCAGCCTCCCTGAGCTGCCCCTGCAGCCAGGCCAGCTGGGTTCTGATGGATGTGTTAAGCTGCCATAATCCGTCCGTGATGCAGCAAGGCCCCTCGCCCTCAGCTGCTCATTCCCAGCCCTTCACACCCCCACACTGACAGAAGTGTTGGGTAGCCCTGACCTGGAACCATCTGCCTGGAAAACATCGTGGCAGGAAGGACAGAGCAGCTCAGGAGCCTGTTAGCACATGCATGGGTGGAAGCTTTTGTCCAGCACTGGGGTAATGCTTGGAGACGGGCAGGAGGTGGCTCACATATTGGTGGCCATGTTGATGCCTCCAGCATGGAGATCTCCCCAAGCGGGGCTGATGTTGGGATCCCCTTAAGCACTTTGGACAAGTATAGCAGCTCAGTGCACTGATGCACAGCATCACAGCTTCCCTTCTTCCTCGCCACAAGCCCTGCAAAATGAGGACATGAGGCTCATCTGGTGTGAATGGATCATATGAGCATGTAGAAACCATTTAATAATTCACCTTGATTTGGTCCGACATCATTGTAATGATGGGTTCGTAGCCCCTTTCTTTATTTCTGGCCAGGTTTGCTGCTCTCCGCCTTGTCCTCTCCCCTGAAACACCCCCCAGACTTCACAAAATGAACACTCCCCACACATCTGTGTCTTTTTTAACCCAGCCACTACTCCTCTGGTCTATTTTTTCTCCTCCCCTCTCATTAGCTATCTGGTCACGTCTGGATGTCTATGAAGCTTAAGCTAAAAAAAGGAACCACCAAACTGTTCTGTATTCCCTGCATCCTCCCCTAGTAGTTCCTCTTCCCCTCTGAGGAATGAGCTTAAGCTCTACTTCATCTTCCTCCCTGCAGGTGTTCTTCCTTCTGCCTGCACTGACTCTGCAAGCAGCAGCCTCTGCTCTTCCACTCCCATCCCAGTCCCTCGTGCCATCCCTCCAGGGTCAGATTTGCTCGTGTGCAATTCTTCTGAGTGCTCAGGCAGCCCTCCTGCCCTC